AATGGTGGTCTTGGATTTGGACTTGGATTTTCCGGACTTTGAGTTGCCCTTTCCCTTACCGGTTGCTCGCCAGTTGGAGGGAGATGTAGTCGGTGAAGTCGGTGCTTGACCTCCATGCTGAGGATCAGTCAGGGCAACTATGGGAAGATAGCCACGGGACATCTTGAGTTCTTGGAACCTCTTCCTGGCATCAGTGTATGATGCAAAAAGCCATATCATACTCCTCCGCAAGCTCGTGAGGTGAGAGCGTTGCTGAGGTGTCATTGACATTCTCCGGCCAGGGTTCGTCGCCATAGTAACCTGCATCTTCGTCGAAGTCATAGGACTCGTCAGGCTCGAAGTCAGGTTCTTCCGTCCATTCATCTCCTTCATAATAGCCTGTCTCCCAGTGGTCAATAGTCATACTCGGCCTCGTCAGCGGCTGCATAGGCCCGATTCTTCCACTGGTTGGCATTGTAGCCGAAGCGACGGTTGCGGTCTGCATTCCAGCCACCGCCCTTGAAGTCCTGGCCCAAGATGAGGTACACATTGCCTTGATCACCTCATTCTTCTCTAGGTTGGGAGCGCGCAGGGTGATCAACTGTCGTTGTTCACGACTCAGGGAGGCACGACGGAGAAGATGCCATCCTTGGACTGAAGAGGGCAGGTTCACCTTGCGCTGCTGCAACTTCCTGTACGCCTCCTCATGGTCAGCCACGTACAGAAGGAGGGTCTGACCTGGTGGTCGGTTGAGGAGGTTGAAGTACTGTTCAAAATCTGCTGGAAGTTGCACGCGGGAGTCGTAGGCGAAGTTGTCGTCCAGGGTCTTGATCAAACGCTCAAAAGCGCCATCTTTCTCCAACTCTTCAATGGACCAGTCCTGGAATAATCGCCATGTCACTCCAGTGAACGACCCCACGATGTTCAGCACACTTTCATTGCTCCTCTTCGAGATTGTCATCTTGCGATGATACAGGTGTATCCTCTGTCGCCATTCCCTGTAGTCGGCCGGTTGGCCTGTGAAGACCGGCACGTAGCTGTCACGGAGATCGACAAAGCCAGTGCCATCCTTGGAGCTCGAGGTCGAAGAAGCAGCCTGGGTCTGTGGTTTCGTTGGCTTTCCCATGTAGGGCAGGGCAAGGTGATAGAGCTCCTCAAGATCGTGCTTGCTGGCCTCAAAGCCGTTGGTGAAGAGAAGAACAAATGCAAGCAAATGCAACCAGTGAAGAGCTCCTTTGACCGTTCGTGACAGGGTCTTACGCAGGACCTCTGGCTCGACAAAGCGTAGTGCATGCAGAGCCCCGGATAGGGGCTCCGCTACCAATATGAAGATGTAGAAGTGGCTCACGAGGTCCACAACACAAGTCGAACGCAAGCAGCGAACGAACGGAGCGCGACGCGCGCACGAAAGCCGCCGGGGCAACCACACCGCAGGTGTTTTGGCAAGCTTGAGCCCACCCAGTCTCGGATGGACAGGTTTCGTTTCTAGTGAACCCTAGTGCACAGCGTGCACTTCACAACGTTCAAAAAACTCGCAACTTGAATAAACTTGAACCACCCATCCCAATGTGTGAAGCTTCGGGCGGATCTCATCCCAGCTCTGCTGGCTTGTTGGGAAGTACAATGCTCACTAACAGTACTGTGGATAACACACCCGCCAAGATGAAGCCGACGGCCTGAGAAGACGAAGGCTAGATACATCCATCGAACACAGGTGCAATCAAAACTGAAACCAATGCAATTCTTTGCAAATGATCGGGGTGAACTATCTGCTGCGGAACGGACATCAAATAAGTGGCCTGAACAAGGCCTCTGTCTGTCATAGGTTGCACTGCCTTGGCCTTGCAATCAGAATTGCAGCTGGTTTGAACGAAGTGGCACCAGTCGCGCATCTGAGACCCCTCTGGGCATGCATAACTCTTTTTGTTGGCCCGAGGCCCCGCCTCCTACTTAATGAAGTTAGGCGACTAGTTCGCTACTGGGCTAAGTTTGCTTCTAGTATATAACTGGATGCAGGATAGCTCACGCTTCTTCAAGGAAGCTCCCCCGCCTGTGGGCGGGGCGGGGGGAGCTTCCTTCAAGAAGCGCTCGCACTAATCATGTTGTTTCCAGATTTTTTGGAAAAATAAGTTAAGCAAAAAGAAGTATATATTCTACAGTGACTCTACAGTAGTCACATTGACAGGCCACATGAACATTCGTATGTCTATCATGTGAACCGCTACTTGCCACACGTCACACCCATGTCGGGCCTTGCTAACATCAAGAGAGCGTCGCAGAAACTTGAAGACAGGGACGGTAACCATAATCCTAGTTGCGCAGCACGCAACGCCAAAGTCCGATCAAAATACCAAACGTGTCCATGTTTGGTTTAAAGCACGTGGGCGCCCCCTGCCTACTTAATTAGGTTAATTCAGTAGGCGCCTACTACTTAATTAAGTAGGGACGACTTTTTCGCTCCTAGTAACTGGACGCTGGATAGATCACGCTTCTTCAAGGAAGCTCCCCCCGCTTGAGGGCGGGGCGCGGGGAGCTTCTTGAAGAACCACTCGCACTGATCATTTAATGCATTGATTTTTAGGGAGACTTAACTTCTGGGGCCCTCACAAGGCTGCACAACCCACAAGGCTCCCATTCATCTTGGAGGCCTCTAAAACATCATCAGAGCCATAGCAGTCACAAACGAAAGCAACCATGAAGTTAAGAAGTCCCCGATATTGTGTGCTAAAGCTTGTAAAGCTAAAGGTTCCCTTCTTCGGTTGTCTAAGGACAATATTAAGTGCAAATTGCAAGTCCTCAACAATTGTGTGAGGCCAGCACAAGGGTCTTCATCTCAGTTCAGCTACCAAAAGGCTATGTCAGAAACTAGCCTTGCTGCCCAAGTGCAGCAGAAAGATGCTGAGGGACCTAGAATGATCAGCCAAGCAATTTTTGGTTTCAATGCCTAAAAAACAGCAAAAGGACAACAGAATTCTAGGGACAAAGCGACAAAATCACACCTGACCGCAGCCACCTCAAAAGAGTTCGCCTTGGTTGGAGCTTGAGCTACATAAGCTCACAAGCTCTACCAAGTCTCGTTGTTGCAAACCGCAGTGATGCTTAGCCCACCGCTCAATCGACAAAGGCACTTTCGGGTCTAGAATTTTTGCATCTTCCTGCATTGCTGTATTGCTGGCTGGAGGAAGGACTGTTGCTTCCTACACTCCACATGATGGCTGTACACTATTGTTAAACTTTGCCACGAATGACAGTGCGTGACGTGTAGAATCTGTTTCTTGCCTTGGCTGAATGGGGCATGCCAACTTGAAGGAGGATGGCTCCCCAAACTTCCCGCACAAGAGTTGGCCCTCCTTTGTGTTAACCTCCTTCCAGTCTCGAATCAGCTGGGACAAATCATCCAAGCAGCCTGGCAAACAGAAAGACCAACCCATACCAACCCAGAAATTGATTAAATGAGGAACAAAGTATGCAAAAGCACTACTATGTCAAAGCCTCACTTGCTAGGAAAGCTCGTCAAGCTTGTCGACTTATGTTCAGTGCTTTAAGGGTGATAACTCTGCCTGAGAACGACATGTTTGAAGCGAAGGTGTCACACTACCTGAGGCTGACGAGGATGTCTGGTCAGAGTCTATCGTTGTTATAGACCACCTGTTGTAGACTCTACGTAGACTCTAAGACTACAAGATGTTATAGTACGGGAAACTATTATAGAATTTTCAAATAGAAGGCTGCACATTCCTCCCGTGGCAGGGTTCCGGGACAAATAGAAGAAAAGCGTCAAGATAACAGGTTGATAAACGTGCTCACAAACAGTCTTCAAATAGCAGAAATAGTATTTTTGGCACAAAATACGCACGAGCCGCAAGCTCTCTTTCCCTTGCGCTCTCACTCTTTCTCGCTCTCTCCCTCCCTCCCTCCCTCCCTGGAGAAGAGAAAGTTCTGCAAGGAAGCTCCCGGTGAACCAGCTCCGAGCGCCGGGCCGAGCGATGGACCCGTTAAGGGGAACAGACACAGAGAGCGCAGCCCTCCAAAAAGGTTAAAAAAAATGCGTTAAAATTTAACGCGTTTTTTTTGAGCTCAGAGACGTCACCGGGTCGCATCCCGACCCGACAGAGACCCGACAGAGACTTGTTTGAAGAAAAAATTGTAAAAATTGAGAACAATTTTTAGAAAATTGAGGAGAAAACGTGTAGAAAAAGACAAGTGGCCTGGAAGAGCCTTTTTTGAGCTTGAAAAGGTGAACCCAGGCCACTTGCTAAAGAACCCCAAAAGTGTAGAAAAAGTAGCTAGTTAGTTTTTAAAGTGTAGAAAAAAAGTGTAAAAAGTAGCCAGTTCCTGTCTCCTTTCTCCTTTCGGCCTGGAAGACCAGGGCCTTCCCTTCCCTTTCCACCTTTCCTTCCTTCTCTTTACCTTTACCTTCCTTTCCTTTACCTCCTTCCCCC